AAGTTCAGTGGAATCTATGGACCAATTTTACAGAAATTCACTGCCGATTGAGACGACATGCACAGACAATACTAAACTACATCAAGTCAACAGAGTGTCTGCCTGGAAAGCAGACGGTGGTGTTCAGCCAAGTCAAACCAAAAAACATTGACAGATGATTCTTGTTGTTATTTGTTGTGACCTGTTAAGGGCATAAAACACTGGCGACCGGCTGACTTGGAGTCAGTTAAGTGTGGTAGGATGTCTCAGTGGGTTGGCGCTGTGAGACTGGCATTAGTCTGGACTGGCACCAGCACACACACACAGATACATATGCATGTACTTTGCAATATAACTTGCAATGTGCCATAATCTTGAACACAACATTATCATTCTCATAACATCAGTCAGCCAGATCACTGATATGGGAAATATTGTCCTAAAAATTATGTTTGGATCAAACACTGTGAAAAATCTTAGAAATATGAATTACTGATATATTAAGTAAATACAGTTAGTTGCTTCTGTGTTCATTAGAAAAGGAAGCATTCATTAAGAAATTAAAATATAGTATTTGTTTTAAATATGAAATTGTAACACATATTCAATATTCCACAATTATTTAATATGATTGCTGTATGAAGCGAGAGATGGTGGACCATTCCTTCCAGACATGTTCTAGAAGTGTGGTCCACAACCTACTCAACATCTGCTGCCATCACAGAGTTTCAGTCATCCCTTTATATGGTTTTCACAGCTCTTTGACTTTTTAGCTCAGTAGAGTGTGTTTTGGTGGATAGTTTATTTTATTTTATTTTGGAGACATGTACACCCAATGGTGTAGCAGGGCTAGGAGTCATCCCACAGATGACATCCTTATACCTTGTCAGATTGCTGACAGGGTTAACCTCTTTGGTCATGTGGACAAGGCATCCGACCTCTGATCAGAAGGTACGTGGTTCGAATCCCAGCACGGGACTCGGAAATTTTATGGCCGCTACACTCAAAACAATTGTCATTATGATGAGCAAATGTTTTGTGTATCCAATAAAATGAAATAGGTAAATAACAGTGTAAATCCTGACTGGACAGAACAATTAGTAAAGAATACAAGTGACCCACTTGCGGTGTGGACAGACAAAATATATGACATATACTTGCAGCTATAGGTTACTAATTACCCAACATGCTCAGTACAGAAGCAGACAGAAGAAATGCCCCTGACAACCTGGCAGTGGCCCCTAGCTGAGACCCATATAGACATGGTCAGCAGAAGTTGGATATTACATATAATAACTTGAAGGTGGTGCTGGTTTTTACCATCAGACACCACCAGTAAGCAGTGCCAGCAGCAAATTCCTGCCAGTAATCTGATTGGCTAATAATGTCAAGGTCATGTGACTCTGGGTATGATCCCATCTAAAACAGGCTAATTCAGAGTCTCCCCATTAATGAATATCTATACTACCTGAAACAAGTTGAGGAACTGATGCTTAAACATCTGTTCTGAATCAGTCATGACCCCCTAAAGGTATTTTCTCCTGGCAGTCTTGTACTGTCCCTTGTCTATTTCTTATGTTGGTTAAAGTCAATGAAAATCATAACAGAAATACAAAAATATGTGTCTAGAGCCAGTTCCAATATTATGAAAAAAAGTCACGAAGTGCCCATAAAAATCCCAAGTTGTTCGTACAAAACACAGTGGGGAAGGATAGGGGAGATGCTAGTGTCTGTTCATTGAGTTTGTCTTCAAACAAACATTTTTTTACTGTTCACCAATGATATTCCAGCAGTTCTTTTGTCTAAAATTTCACACAGTCACATTCCTGTTTTTTACAAATAAGTAACTTGAAAATAAGCAGGTTGAAGGAGTTCTTTAGACCTACTGGGTTTCCATTGATCAGGGAAAAGAATATTTCACCTCGGGAGAGAGGTTCTCTTCAACTGGACTGGATTAACTCTCTGACAATACTACCTGCACCACCATCTTTGACAACACTGGCTATGGTGCCTTATAGTGAACGTCAGTGCATATGTCCTTGCTTTTCATGAGAATATACAGGTTTTAGCTGAAATAGGTTTTTTTACTCTTTTTTTGTTGTATGACCGATATTTGATAGGGTCTTTGAAATCATAATGCAGGAAAAAGCAATGTTAATTAATCATTCTTTGTTGTAGAGTCCAACCCGTCTTTTCCCTATCCAGTTCAGGGTGTGACACCTACTGGGACAAGGGAGTTAATTGAGCCAAACATATTGTATCAGATTGTGAGTTTGGAGGGTCTACGGTTCTCAGACAGGTGTTGCTAGTGTTGTCCCAGAATGCAATAGGAGCCATGGTGCATCAACCATTGTATCATTCCGCCAAGGATGGCATGGGAATAGCATCCTAATTGATTTCATGCTTAAAAGTTTATCAGATCATTTCTCTAATCCCCAAGAGCGATCCTTCTTATCAGATTAAGTTTCAGTGCTGGTGTGGTATTGCAACAAGGATGCAGATATCAATCATTATCCTAGCTAACTCAAAGAAGATCCATCAATATTTTTGTAAAATAGTTTAGATATAAAATGATTTGTTTGAAATTTGATGTATTCCAGCTTCTTGATCAGATATATTTTTATTGCCCCAATGTAACGAAATAAGCCGCGGCAGCTGTCACAGACATGTAACCATGTTATGCTTAGGGCATCATTTAAGTGGATCTTGGCACTCAACAGGGGAGGATACAGCTTTTTGAGAAGGGGGGAGGGGGTTTGCACACTGTTGAGAAAGGGGAGGTGCACACTTCATTTTGGGATGGGATGACACCATCCCTGTCTCTGCGCCAATCCGCCCTTCACCTTGCAACTAACGGCAAACGTTCCTTAGTGAACATCTTACGTACAATGTGGGCATATGGAAAGTTACCATTCAAGACCTATTTCAAAATATTCGACACAAAAATAAAGCCCATCCTGTTATACGGAAGTGAAATATGGGGACACACACGAGTCGAGACAATTGAGAGAGTTCAATATCTTGCTTGTAAACGCTACATTGAACCGGTACAAACACACCAAATGCTATGGCCCTTGGAGAGTGTGGACGCCATCCTCTGTATGTGGATGGTGCCGCCAGATGCATCAAATACTGGATCAGACTCCTTCATCTCCCGCCTCATCGACTACCACGCAAGGCATATGGCATGTTGTATAATCTGGACAATGTAGGCTCCATTATACATGGTGTTCCTCATGTTAGAACCCTACTACAAAAGGTTGGCATGGGATATGCTTGGGCTTCACAAGATGTTGGTGTTACGAATATTTTGTTAAGGACTTTAAACAGCGTTTAAAAGATATCAGTTCTCAACAGTGGCATGACGCTTTAACCAGCAGCTCAAGATATGATACATACTCAACATACAAGACAACTCTTGATGCTGAAGAATACTTATTAGACTCTTCACTACTTAACTTTTTATAGCCAGTTTACTCTTGCAAGAATTGGACATACAAGTCTACAGATTGATAGAGGCCGGATATCAAATATGCCCCGTGAGCAACATATCTGTCCACACTGTGATCGATATGAAATCGAAGATCTCTATCATTTTACTTTGATATGGCCTTCCCTTGACACCATCAGAATAGCTATTCTACCAAGTTATGTGATCAGGAACCCATCAGTACACATGTTCTCAAAACTTATGTCAACAACTTCACACTCTGTGCTTACAAAATTAATGGCATTCATTCATGTTGCTTTTAAGAAGCGAAAATGATTGTTTATAATATCACCCATATTATTATTGTTGTATTATGTATTTGGGCCTATGGCCACACATGCATTATGGAAATAAACTACTCAATTTTCACAAGAGTTTCAATGGTCATTTAATAAACTTTTGGGACAAAAGGGGGGTGCCTCTGCACCCCCCTCTGGATCCGCCTATGCTCAAGGCAATATTGCCTCACAGCTAGTGTACGTAGGTATTTGGTATCTCATAGAGGTGAGGTGAGGTGAAATTGGGTTTAACGTCATGCTTGAGAATATTTCGCTCATATGACGACGTGCATGTGTGTGTATGTCTATGTGTGGCTGCTTGTACTAGCCCAGACTTAGGCTGGTTTTATAGTGCTAGCCCACTGAGATACCATGCCGCAGTGAAGCATGAATACCCCACTCAGACACATTATACTGACTCCGAGCCGACCAGTCCTTGTTGTACCCATTATTGCCGAACGCCAGGCAGGAACCAACAAGTACCATATTTTAACGTCTTTTGGTATGATGCGGTCGGGGATCGAACCCGTGACCTTCCGCTCTCCGGGCGGATGCTCTAACCACTACAGGTGTCTCATAGAGGGCATTGGGGACTCAACTGACTGTGACACATATCGTACAAAGATACAGCATGTTTAACAAAACTAACATGAAACCTTTTATCATACATTTCATTTTGTCAATATTGTTTCTCTAATATAGACTTCAAATTGCATCCCTCTCTCATTGTTTTTGTGGTAAGTACTATTTGGGCTACAGTAGTGACCAATGACACTCTGAAAGTCTCAAAGATGGTACTGAGGATTCAGGAGGGGAGGGGACTAACATCCTCGACAATAGTGAAATTTGGTTGGAACTCAGTTAATATTCACTCTATGCCAGATTAGGTAGGATTTCCTGGGTAACAACAGTGTGGGCCAGAATAGTTCCCAACAAAGTCCGCTGGTAGGAACAGGGTCTGGTGTCACTTGTCTCTGGTCATGCCGTGATGGGCCACTCTGGGAATACCATTCAAGTTAAAACACGTTTACAGTTAAAAACACTGCCAGTATTCAGGTATTATATTAATATGTTTAGATATGTTTCCACAGTTAGATGTAAACCACTGCCAGTATTCAGGTATTATATTAATATGTTTAGATATGTTTCCACAAGTTAGATGTAAAACAAAGAGATGAAAAACTAGGAATTTCGGTGTTGTTCAAATGAATATATATGTCAAGTGAAACAATGATATTTTTTGTCTATTGCAGATAGTAACTTTGTCCTTGGCAATGCTCAGGTGACGGGGAAACCCATCGTGTACTGCTCGGATGGTTTCTGTGAGCTCACTGGGTATGGCCGGGCCCAAGTCATGGCGAAGCGCTGCGCCTGCAAGTTCCTGTTTGGTAAAGATACGGACAATGATGAAAAACAGAAGATTGAAAGTGCCTTGGAAGACAAAAAAGAAACTAAAACCGAAATTCTTCTTTACAAGAAAAATGGTAAGAGTTTTCTCTAATGAATGGAACATTGCACTGAAATAAAATACTTCTATGTTACAATATTCTGTGCACAATCCCAATCCACAATCTCTCTGCTGTTTTTTGTGGTCTCTGGTTGAGGAGCTTCACTGAAGGTCCATTGTGTGATGTACCAATGTTGAAGCAGCTTGGCCAGCGGCAGGTTGGACATGTGTACAGCAAGGTGCACAATGTAACTCTGAGTATAGAAAGGGCAACACACCATTGTATAGAGAGTTCTGCTGCCCTTCATGCCATGGAGGAACATCGGTAGGTGACAGCATCTGTGTGTGTCAGCGGTAGGAACCTGTGTTGTAAAGTAACAACAGAACGTAAGGACTTAATGGGTTTATGGATTTCTTCTGGTCTGTAGGGAACACAGGAAGCAGGGTTTGATAATGAATGCCAGAGGCACAGGTTCAGTTCCACACATTGACACAAACGTCAACAGCCCATTCTGTCCTGGCAGTGAAATGACTTGAATGTGCACACAAACCTCACACAATACATTGCACATAATGTTCTCACACAATTAATTGTACACAAGGCTATCCACATGTACAGCTCCATGAGACTAGACAGTCTGGCAGACAGTGTCCCCATGTACAGATCCATGAGACTAGACAGTCTGGCAGACAGTGTCCCCATGTACAGCTCCATGAGACTAGACAGTCTGGCAGACAGTGTCCACATGTACAGACCATGAGACTCCATGAGACTAGACAGTCTGGCAGACAGTGTCCACATGTACAGCTCCATGAGACTAGACAGTCTGGCAGACAGTGTCCATGTACAGATCCATGAGACTAGACAGTCTGGCAGACAGTGTCCCCACATGTACAGCTCCATGAGACTAGACAGTCTGGCAGACAGTGTCCACATGTACAGCTCCATGAGACTAGACAGTCTGGCAGACAGTGTCCCCATGTACAGCTCCATCCTATGAGACTGTCCACATGACAGTCAGTCTGGCAGACAGTGTCCACATGTACAGCTCCATGAGACTAGATAGTCTGGCAGACAGCAGACAGTCCATCCCCATGTACAGATCCATGAGACTGGACAGTCTGGCAGACAGTGTCCCCATGTACAGCTCCATGAGACTAGACAGTCTGGCAGACAGTGTCCCCATGTACAGCTCCATGAGACTAGACAGTGTGGCAGACAGTGTCCACATGTACAGCTCCATGAGACTAGACAGTCTGGCAGACAGTGTCCACATGTACAGCTCCATGAGACTAGACAGTCTGGCAGACAGTGTCCCCATGTACAGATCCATGAGACTAGACAGTCTGGCAGACAGTGTCCCCATGTACAGATCCATGAGACTAGACAGTCTGGCAGACAGTGTCCACATGTACAGCTCCATGAGACTAGACAGTCTGGCAGACAGTGTCCACATGTACAGCTCCATGAGACTAGACAATCTGGCAGACAGTGTCCCCATGTACAGCTCCATGAGACTAGACAGTCTGGCAGACAGTGTCCACATGTACATATCCAGAGACTCCAGTGAGACAGTGTCCCCATGTACAGCTCCATGAGACTAGACAGTCCCCATGTACATGTACAGATCCATGAGACTAGACAGTCTGGCAGACAGTGTCCCTATGTACAGCTCCATGAGACTAGACAGTCTGGCAGACAGTGTCCCCATGTACAGCTCCATGAGACTAGACAGTCTGGCAGACAGTGTCCCCATGTACAGCTCCATGAGACTAGACAGTCTGGCAGACAGTGTCCCCATGTACAGATCCATGAGACTAGACAGTCTGGCAGACAGTGTCCCCATGTACAGCTCCATGAGACTAGACAGTCTGGCAGACAGTGTCCCCATGTACAGCTCCATGAGACTAGACAGTCTGGCAGACAGTGTCCCCATGTACAGATCCATGAGACTAGACAGTCTGGCAGACAGTGTCCCCATGTACAGCTCCATGAGACTAGACAGTCTGGCAGACAGTGTCCCCATGTACAGCTCCATGAGACTAGACAGTCTGGCAGACAGTGTCCCCATGTACAGCTCCATGAGACTAGACAGTCTGGCAGACAGTGTCCACATGTACAGATCCATGAGACTAGACAGTCTGGCAGACAGTGTCCCCATGTACAGCTCCATGAGACTAGACAGTCTGGCAGACAGTGTCCACATGTACAGCTCCATGAGACTAAACAGTCTGGCAGACAGTGTCCCCATGTACAGCTCCATGAGACTAGACAGTCTGGCAGACAGTGTCCACATGTACAGCTCCATGAGACTAGACAGTCTGGCAGACAGTGTCCACATGTACAGCTCCATGAGACTGGACAGTCTGGCAGACAGTGTCCACATGTACAGCTCTATGAGACTAAACAGTCTGGCAGACGGTACCTTCATTCAGATTTTCCTCTAGAAAGTCTGGCAGTGTCTACTCCTTAAGCTTCCAGTAGACAGTCATTTCCAAGTGCCTTGTGACATTTAAACTCAAGCCTGTTGACAGGCTCCAAGGAAATCAACCTGACAACAATCCTGTTTACATTCTACAAACGTTCACGCAACTGAGAGGTCTTCCTCGTTTAGACGTTTGATCTGCGATTTTCAATTATGGAAATACTCGTGTGAGTGCATCTGCAGGATTATGTCTTCATCATGGTTGGAGATTGATGTTCTACCAGAGTCTCCAAGTGTGGTGGTTGTAACGGCCCTGTAACGGCACTCCAGATCACTCCTCCTGAAGGTGACTGCTTTAACTCAGACAAGTGTGATTGTGTGTTGATTGACAGTTGATGGAGGTTAAAGACCCCTGACCTGATCCTCCCCCTGGCTTCTTAATGCCAGATTGATCTTATTGTACTCAGGTCTGGGTAGAAGTGAAGCTTTCATTGCAGCATTTGCCTTCGGAAAGAGTTACTTGTGAAGTGATCTTTATGAACATGGCTCGTGAACAGGAATATGTGTCAGAGATGAATACCCTGAGATGTGGAGATTAATACTGAGAAATGATGCTATGAATTTGTTGTAAATTTACACCTGGGGCCGCATAAAATCCAGTCTTGAAATCTTGTTATAGTGATGTGATTAGTTCAGGAGAGGACTAATGGTGTTACAGTCAGTGTAAAACACCTGTCTCCGTTACAGCCGTCTAAGCAAGCATTACATTTGTAGCAGGTTGGTGAGTCATCCCATAGATGAAATCTGTACCTTGTCAGCAACTGATGGGGTTAACCTCTTTGGTCATGTGGCCATTTGAAATCAGAAGGTCCTCGGTTCAAATCCCAACAGGGGACTTGGAACTTTTCTGGCCGCTACACATTCATTATAAAATAGGAATCTGGCTATCAAATTATTTTGTTAATATTACACAAAACTGGAGCAAAATTATTGTTTTACTTTTTTTTTAAATGGGATGCAATTACAACATTGGAGTGGGTATTAGAATTTCTAACAGTGTTTTCATTTGTGAGAAATTGGTTTCATAAGTGAAAAACGGAGTATCTAACTCTTGTGATATGTATTTTGCATAGAAAACAAGCTGATCAAGATGATGCAACTAGAAACATCTGCCAATATTTTTTTTCAGCAGATCAGTTGAACTGTCTGATGACTCAGTCTGCACGGAAACAACTCATCTATATGAGACATGGTGATTTTCTTCTCCCAGCATCAGCTGGTCAGGAAGTACAGATGGAGGCATTGTGATTGTTTATTAGACTGTATGTGCAACTGATAAATATTAAGAAATTTTTAAAATCTTTATTTATTTTCAAAGATGGTTCTTAGATGAGTTTCACTGCCAAACACGAGGACCATGCTAGTTTTCATCAGCCAGGTGGCAAGGCTTGTGATGGAACCTTATACTTTTACTTTTTGCAGAAAATACAACATAATTCCAGATACCAAAACTACACAATATACCGTAACCCCTGAATTACCTGAGAAGAAGACAGTGCAGGGGAGATAACTCCGTTCAGTCTTACCATTGTCTTGTGAAGGCAGCACCAGTAAAATACACACAGAGTGATGTCAGGCAACACGACATTCTCCAATATCAGTCAAATCTGCTAGGAGTTGAAAATAAGTTCTTGACAACCTCACAACCATGGTTGCTTTTCTGTATTGGATATATAAGCTCAATGTTCCTCACAAATCATGATATATATATATATCCTTATATTCCCAGTTGGATATACTCCTATATCATCTTTATCCATAACAACGGCACTTGGTCCTTGTAATCCCAATAATCCTATTCATCATCCTCTCATGACATATCTCTACTAAGCTATGATATTATATTCACCTCTAATCTGTTGTATATGACAAGATATTCTCCATAATGCCCAGTAGGTTATATGTTCCACAAATTCCTGGCTAGACATGGTTGTCAGACTGAGGAGTGACCAGGACTTGACACACAGCAGGATCAGACATCTTTATAGTATAAGAGCAAGCTGACCAATGTTATAAAACTGACCACCTGACCCAGAGAGTTAAACAGACAGCTGACCTAGGGATTTAACCCTGTAGTAAAACATTTCAAACATCTGTCAACAAAGGACAGTAAAACAACTAAGCTATCACAGATAAAAAGGTTACTGTTTCAGAAGAGTGAGATTTAAAACAATTTAAATTTGTTGAATGCAAACACATGCTGATTAATGTATCGTTTTCCAAAACTATATACTGAAAATGCAAAATATGCTCATTGTTTCCTGACTATTAATTGAAAATATTTTGCTCGGAAAATATTTGAAGGTCAAATGTTCTATATTATCATTTTTTCACCTGCCAAGTTTTTATTTTATGATTATGAGTTAGTATGGAAAACAAAATGCTAAATACAATCTTAATATGCATATTTATTAGGGCTTTTAGCAGAGGTTATATTTAATGATTTCTATTCACTAGGAGAGGTATAGAAAATTCATGTAGATGTTTACCTAATCAGTTTGGGTTGTAACTCTTCAGACTGGACTTAGATTTTCAATTGTTTAACAGTAAA